ATTTTCTACCAATAAGAACAAACGTCTCTTAGAAAAATTTCACTTGTACACTCTAGTGTACAGTCCCCTTACATGAGTAGGAGCTCATAGTGATTAAAAAATATGCGCCTCCCCCTCATGTACACTAGAGTGTCCATGTAGAAATCTCAAACAAGGATCAAGTATATTCCCCAATATATGTTCACTGGCAGAATATATTATATATTTCCCCAAAAGATGTACAAATAATGTATACAACAAATCTTGTTAAGCCCCTATTTGTTTCCCATTGTTTTGTCCTTAAAATAAAAATATAACCGTTATCCATCACATTACGCCACCATATTTGAATTTCTATCTTTTGTGAGGAGTCCGTAACGACTATATTTTTCATTCTCATTTTTACATTAATGGAAAACAAACGGGGTCTAAATGTCCCTTTTCAATTTGAAGACGGGGCTCTGTTAAATTCACAGGCAGATGCCTTTTGTTTGTATACATATAGTACTATAATTCCCTGTGTTTTCTTAATCCCATTTTACCAAAATAAAAAGGACAGTTTCACATGCATAGACAGCTTCTTGCAAAGGACTGGTATGGAGATTGGAAATACAGATGCCTTTTGCTTGTGTATATATAGTACTATAATTCCCTGTGTTTTCTTAATCCTATTATACCAAAATAAAAAGGACAGTTTCACATGCATAGACAGCTTCTTGCAAAGGACTGGTATGGAGATTGGAAATACAGATGCCTTTTGCTTGTGTATATATAGTACTATAATTCCCTGTGTTTTCTTAATCCTATTATACCAAAATAAAAAGGACAGTTTCACATGCATAGACAGCTTCTTGCAAAGGACAGGTATGGAGATTGGAAATATAGTTGTGATTGCAGCCTTTTTATTAGGCTAAAATATATATTACTCGGGTTTTTTCAGAGTTTGAAAGTGACTTAAATGACTTAGTGTTTATCAATTATTAACTTTCTGTTATTCAAATTGTCGAGAGTAGCAGAATTTTCGCTAGTAAATGAACAATGTGACTTGTCTAAGACAAGATTTTATTTTAAAATGGTAAGGGAAGATGTTGAGCGAGAATTCTTTATGTTTGGTGATACTTGATTTTAAAAGTTTATAACCCACCTTGAAGTCTCCGAATAAAGGGAAAATAGAGCTCTTTACAACTCTCGTTTTTTACCCTGTCACCACTCATAACTTCGATTTTTCCAATTCAAATTTTGAAATTAATATTCTGAAATATTAATAACTTTAATCTACATCATATGTTTTTACACTTCAAATAACCATAAAATGCATTTGTTAAAAATTGAAAAATCCAGATTCTCTTTTCTAAATTAAGTCCATATAATGAAAAATCATGCATGTTTTGCTCTTTTCAAGTCCTTTTCTCTTTTTGTTTTCATGTGGAAAAATTTACACACAATGTGGCCAAGGAGATAGAAGGCATGGCTAAAGTGATAATGCATTTGAGGCCAATCTCAAAGGTTTCAATTGCCAACACCCCAAACGTCACTATTAGGAGATTAATACTTTTCATACATCCTTTTCAATTTTGTTTGATAACTTCACATTCAGTTTGGACATTAAGTCGAAAAAGATAAATATTTAAGAGTTGAATATTATACTAGTTTCTGACTTGAAGCATTTAAATAATAATAAACATACCACGGTGCATATCTATGTACAAGTAAATTGTTATCTAAGTATAAAAGAAAAAAATTGTATTAATAACCATACATTAAGATCCAATGAAATATTCATAACACTATAGTAATGTCAAGACAAAACCGATTAATAAACAAAAATTCTCAATGATAAATAATGGGATCATCAAAGATTTGACTTTTTGGAACTCCATCTGTTGTAACTTACTAGAGGAGGCTCGGAGAATGAAGAGAAGATGTGTACAGACAAGATGTACAACAAGAAGGAAAATGATTTAGTAAAGGCGCTCTCGAATATTTGGCGACCTCAAATGTGTCGATATCAATGATGACTCATTATTTTGATGAAAAACAACTAGAAAATTTGGGCTACCCTTGACAAGTTCATTTGGTTCCCAATTGAACCAAGTCGTTGATTGAGTTTCATATTGATTTATGTTTTATCACATAATCCGATTGATTTCCATTTTTCTAGCTAAAGTGTCGGTCCAGACTGAATTCATAATTTTGACACCCACTTGCATGTGTGTGTAAAAAAATTGTACAAGTAAAATGGTCCATATAAAAAATCTGAAAGTCAGAATACGTAACATGGCCCACTCAAAAATATTAAAATTTCACCAAAACTTTGATGAATCAAACAGCATTATTGTTGATAAATAATGGAGCTTAGTAAACGCCAGGCTTGGCCATAAACAAAAAGATTTTGCAGGCCTTAAATATATGCAGTAATTGCAAATGACATTTGAAAATAAATTCACGTGACCGTTAAGTGCAATCAATCACGTCTGTAATAAATTTGGCAAGTCCATGATTCATCTCAATCGGTGTTTCAGCTGGTTTACAATCAAGCATCCCAGTTTCAGTTAGCAAGTCAAGAACATATTTTCTCTGCGAAAGTGAGATTCCCCTTTTAGATCTTGCAACTTCAATCTCTAGGAAATATTTCAATGATCCAAGATCTTTCATCTCAAACTCCCTTGACAAATTTTTTTGCAATTTATTCATCTCATTTTGGTCATCTCCTGTAATAATCATATCGTCGACATATACAATCAAAGCCGTAATCTTACCATTCTCGCGCTTGACAGGATATGGTCAGAATTGCTCTGTTTGTACCCCCAACATGTGACGGTTACGGCGTAATTTTTAAAAAGAAAATTGCATGATTGTTGCCCTCTCTTATTTGTTGTTTCACAATAAATTTAGGGAGTTATTATTTTTATCCACCATTCTTTTATATCTATAATTTTTATTTTTATTTTTATTATATTTTTAAATTTATGTAAATTTAATTAATTAGACAAGAATATACTCAAATAAAAACTATTACTCTAAATTCATTCACGAATATTTAGCTCTATGCAAGGCGGAAACATGGCATTTTGGCATCCTATTGTAGTCTCATGCCTTCAACGGAAAGTGCGAATATTAATAATCGGTTTGAATCCAACATGGACTAGGTAGAACCCAATTATTTGAGATCATATTATACAAGTCCTAATGGATTCTTTCCTAGCTCGGAAGAAGTCGTGGACTTAATTGTATGTGCGATAAAAATTTAGGGAATGTACATGCAAAATGACCAAAAGTACAATCCTGAGCATAACAGGATTTGGAAGAAAACCTTAGGTTTATGTAGCGTTGCCCATGTTGTAGAAAATATTGTCGAGGCACGTGATACTTAATTTCATGGCTTTTGTCTGAAAGTCTTCATTTGAGTTCTTAGGGTTTTGGGTATGGTGCTTAAGGTTTCTTGTTTATTTATATGAATTTATTGAATGATTTTGATATGTTCAGAGATGGATGAATGAATTATCTTCGATCAATTGTGATCAATAGAATTTTATTTGTAATTGTTAATTTCTAATATGTAACAAGATAAGTTAATTCCACTTCCATGTTTATCATACTGCTTTAATTCTCGTCGCAATCGGAATAAACTTTGTTAGCTCCAATTTTGAGACATTGATGTAGACTCCAGTGTAGGTGGTCACTTTCAATATGATCAATTAAATTAAACATGCGATATTGTTTTTAAGTGAATCCATCATTTGATATCATTCAGTTGCCACCTCAATTGGTGCTTGATACTAGTGATGTTGAATAATATTACTCTTTAAGAATTTAGGTAATGGCACCTTAGGAGTAAAATTATGGATTTGGTAAGCAGTTCATTTCAATAAATTTTATTAACATTATTTTAATGGGAAATTCTCACCTATAGCTCCCCAAACATTGCCACGTGATTCACTTGGGTCCTCATACATTTTTTTCTCTCATTTAGGACCCCAAATAATCATATTTGCTGCGCTTAAGGACAAACGGACGAAAATTGTTCAACTTTCGGTCTAATTGTCACTTGAAAGGCTCGTAATCCATTCTTTTAAGGGTATTTTTGTCTACCCATAACCCATGCTCACATTCTTTCAAGTGAAATTTAAACGATTTAAGGCCATTTTTAAACATGGACCAAACATGAAATCTAGAAGACCAATGTGGCCAAAATTTGAATGGGAATTATTTGAATAGATTAATCTATTTTCTTAAGGATAAAGTGGAAATTATATATATATGCACAACTAGCTCTTTTATATAAGTAATATAATAACATAATGACAGAACCGAAGTAGTTGAAAGGGAAAAAAATGCACAGTTTGGAAAGTAAAATTATTATGAACAACTACTTTATAATGCACATCTTCGAAAGAAAAGTATTAATTTTATTTTTTTTTAAATTAGTTGAAAGCTTATATCGAGACTACTTTTTTATAATGCACAAATCTACAGTTTGTTTGGGAGCGATTTTTTGCCCCCAAAAAATTAATTTTTTGACCGTTATTTTACTATTCCAGTCGTCATATTTGACTTCTTCTCTCACAGGCGGACCCCACTTTTCTCCTAACCGTCAAAAAATCAATTCTCAAAATCACTCCCAAACATCAATATAATATATTTTCGTTCAGACTCCTTTTGACTACTATGTGCTGGAGGCTTGAAGCCACGGCTAAAGCTTTTCACGCATTGAAGTTTTATTCCACTTTTTCTATTTTGCTCGTCTCCATTACATTGGAGGGTCAAATCAACCACAGGAAATTCAGAGCAGAATAATATTTGAAGTCATCAAACAGTGGATTCGTTAGTACTATAATAAGTCAAGCCTTCCCCTATCTTCAGAAGAACAAAGGCCTGGTCTCAGAGAGTACACATAGCAGAAAAACCTCCCCCACCAATAACTAAAATATAGATTCAGTTATATGAACCCGTTTATACCGCTCTTCTCAGTTCATTGCTAGATCTACGAGAAAATCTATCAGAAAAAGGCGATTCCACCGATGGGCCACGACAATGATGGAGTTGTGGAAAGGCAACTTGAGGCTCCTATGCCATGGATAGGCATGTATGTTGCAGCAGCCTCTCTAGTCTGCTCTCTGGCAATGGCAGCCGACGTGTTCCATGGATTCCGAACCAAGAAGTTATGGTTCCCATCGAAGTATTTCGCGATCAATGCTACTTCTTTGTCATTATTAGCAGTGGCAATGAAGCTGCCCGTTGATCTTTCGACTCGTATGTGGGCTGGTGCTGATAGGCTTGCAAAGGTCACTAGCCTAATTTTCCTGTCAACTGCTATGGGAAACTTCATGACATCTTTGGGATCCATGAATGATAAAGAGATTCTGCTAAATGTAATTGCTTTAGCCATGCTTGCTATCACAGTCGTTGTTAATGTCTGTATCCAAATCATCCAAATGAGGCATTTTCTGGACCATCGAGAAATGTTGGTCGAGGAAATTATAGCTAATTTGTCCATCCTCTTTTTGCTTGTTATGTTATCTGCTTCAGCTGTAATTGTCCCGACGACCAAACAATATCTCGAATTGAAGTACCAAGAAATGGTGAAAAAGGCTTCAGAGGAAGAACTCGAGCAGCCTGTCGACTTTGAGAAACTCTCAACGGACAAACTGCGACAAATGATCAAGAAATGCTGGGTGATGGCAGAAACTAGTAGCCCTCAATTCGTGATTGTACGTTCTGTGACCTGTTCGACTTCTAGCGTCATTTGTCTGGTGATTGCTTTCATTTTCGCAGAAGCTCAGGCTCACACGGCCGCAAAGCATAAATCATTCATCGAAACAGCTTCTAGCTATGCTTGGTCGACAACTTGGATAGAACTTGCACAATCTGCTGGAGTGATTTTGGGTACAATTGCCCATGCATTCAGATGGTTGACTGCAGTAAATTTCGCTCACTCAGCAAAAGGCCTGATGAGCTTTAAGACTGCATTCAAAATCGA